CATCCATCCATCCATCCATCCATCCATCCATCCATCCATCCATCCATCCATCCATCATCTATTGATCATCTATCATCCATCCAACCTGTAACAATACATATTCTGCACCAGAGAAATAAATACGTATATACGTATATACATATATGTAAAATCAGGACACACTGAAACATTTTGCCTTGCAAGCTGTTTTGCAATTCAACTTCAAAGCCTAGTCATTTTGCCACAGACCAAGATTTTCCCGTTGGCAGAGCTGCAACCAAATCCTAGATCCTTCCTGCAAGCTAGCTCTTGCCTCTAGCATTGCACTCATACATGATCTGTACAAGTCTTGGGAGAGGGATTATGCATGAGACCAAGCTACTTTTCCACGTAAAACTAATCTAGGGTTGGTGAGGCTGGTGAATCAACAAACGATAGCCAAATTAGGAAGATAGAAAGCCAGCAACTCATGCCGGGATAAGACGTCCAGCTGACGTCCAGTTATGGCTCAGCTTGCCTACCACCCTCAACAAGCAGTGCAAGAATTTCCCCCCAGATTTTGCCACTGTCCTGAGTCAGCAGCACAGAAAAATCAGAAACAAACAAACAAATGCCATGGAAGATTTAAGTGGTCTGTAGAGCTGGGACACAGCATTTTTTTCTGGGCCAGAGACTCCAGTTGGCCATTTGAATTGGCATGCTGGGGGAGGCACACTCCCTAAAACAGTGGTTGGGCCAGGGTAAAAATAAAACATCATTTCATTTTATTAGTCTTTAATAATAATGAAAAAAATGGGGAAAAAAAGAGAAGAATCTCTTCATCCTGTTCGGTACTGCAATTTATACCAAGTTTGGGGGATCTTTTGGGCCCCACCCATGTGTTTGAGTAGCCATGGGTCCTTATGGATGTATATCTATTTTATGGAGGCAGAATGGTTACAGTTAAAGGATTGGGCTAGGAATCTAGTTCAAGGCCACCCTCAACCATGAAATGACTTTGGATCAGCCCAACTGACTTCACAAGGTTGCACTTGTGGGGATAAAATGAAGGGTTGATGCCCCTGTTAACCATCTTGAGCTCAGGAGGAAGGGCAGGATATAAACTGAACAAATAAAATATATCGAACACTTAGGTGGAGCTTCTACCCCATGATTATTCACGTTACTGAATTTATCCTTTTCAGGATTTGCCCAATGTATTAAATTCCAAACTAACTAAATATGCCAAGTTGTCATCATGTACTAAGATATCCAAGCCAAAAAGGAGGGGGAGGCCTAACCACAGTAAAAAACTAACCAATATTACACAAACACAGTTTGATAGAGAGCAGAGGTGGAATCTGGGGACTATCTTTGGGCCAGACCTTCTCCTGAGACCAACGTACTTCCCAGCATGGCTGTGATAAGGGAAAAAAGATCTCCGTGTTAACCACCATGAGCTTCTTCAGGGAACACAGGATATAAACCTAATACATAAATGTGGGAAGACACAACAACGAGGTGCACCTATCAAACTTCTGAAGATGAGGGAAACAAGTTGGTAGGTTTAGTATCAACCCATCAACAGGAAGCCATTTAGTCAGGGAGGCTATGAGCCAAAAGTTGATGGTGATTTCCAAAAAGTTTAGTTTTGTTTCCTTGATTGTAATGGAGAACAGCACATGTACAGAAGAAAGCTTTTGGTGCATCATGGCTCAAGTCATCTCACTTTTTTTTCTGCAGCCCACTTAGCGATCCTCACAGATTTTGTTCAGTCTGCATTTCTATGAGAAATGAGCTGATCTGCACCATCTGAAATAATATAATAATGGCCAGGCTGTTATCCTGCCAATTGGACGCTTATTTGAATTTTGCATGGCACTTCTCAGCCGAAAAAGGCTCAACAGTACACGTAAAATGTTAATCTGGATGAAGGGCATTTAACAGTGCCTATCAGAGAAGAAAATCATATTTATCAATGTACATTTGGTAAGAGGTGAAAGATGACAGGACACATTAGAAGGGCAGAATACAAATGTTTACATAAATAAAAATAAAGGAATACTTAAAGATACATTTGATTTTCTTGTTATTGCCATTAGTGTTGGTTTATTAAAAAACACACACATTGTAAATAGATTTATGAATGTATTGACCTGTCCATTCAAAAAAGTTGCCAGTGAAATATTCCAAGAGCAACACCCACACGCACGAATGCATTTTCCCATTGTGGGTTTTACAAATGCCTGTCAAATAGGCATCAAAGATGGGATTTTGACCATCTAATTAATGAGGACAAATGGTTCACCAGCGAAACACTCACGGATGATCCTGAAAGCCATCCCTTTTCTGAGATGTCACTGTTCTGTCCTAACCCTTCCTGTCACCAAGAGATGGGCCCACTGTCGTTGTGTTATTGCTCTTGCTATTCTTGCTATTCGTTCAAAATGAGCTCTGCAGATTTCTGTAGAAAAAGCACCAAGGCTGGAGTTTTGGCGATCTAAAACCCCAAAGGCCTCTGAATTGAATCCATTGATCCATCAGTTAGTGTATTAGTTAATCAGCACTTAGGTAATTAATCGCTGAATGGGCGGATGATTCATCAGCGCAACATTCGCTGACCCAGTTTGGACCGCGCGTCCTGAAATTGGGGCGTCGCCAAGAGATGGAGCGAAACACAAGGAAGGAGGCAAACGGTTTTGCAGATCTGGTTGTGGCAAAAGTGGAAGTAAAAAACCCACCCCTCAAATTGCTTTGTTTCAGAATGCTTTTGCACCCTTGAGTGATGCCAAGAACAGGAGCCATGCTGACGATGTCGGTCTCGTTCTTTCTTCATTGCAGGCTAGTATATACCGAGGGGGATACAGCCGTTTTGCTCCATACTAAATGACAAAAACCATAAAACCTCCCCAAATGGGGGAAAAAAGGAAGCTTTCCGAGGCCTGGGGATTGCAATACATGCAGTAGTGCATCATTTTAGCAACTCTAAAAACAAACAAATAAATAAGTAAAATAAAATAAAACAAGTACATAAAAAAGAGGAGAAAAAAATCTACATTTTTTATCTTATACCTCAGATATTTTGTTCTGTGTATTTTAATATTGTGGGTCTTTTAATTTCTGAAGGTTGCATAGTTTGCTGGCTGTAGAAGGTATTTATTATGATTATGATTAATTATTATGATTATGATTATTATTATTTTCATTGTGGTTGAACTAGAAAGCTGCTAGAAATGAATTTGTCTGGGGGCCACCATCAAAAGTTCTATATCATGTAAATGAATTATATATGCTGAATATTATGCTGTTGGGATTCCTCACTTGTTCTGTAAGAGTGTATGTGACGTCATGATTTACTTTTTTTTTCCTGCATAAGACATTGATTTTTATTTTCAAAAGGGGGGGGGAGAGAGAGAGAGAGAGAGAGAGGAACACCAAGAAGGTGGAAATGGGGCTCAACCTAATTTACTAATTAAAAAGGGGGACCCCCAATGGCACCTTATAATTCTATATCAGCTGTCTTAAATTATTCACTGTTTCTTCAAAGCCAAAGGTTATGTTGTTAATTCTGAGTTGGGGCGGGGGGAGGGGGGAAAGTAGAAAGAAGGGTGCTTGAACTGACATCTGTACATAATGTCTTATTAAAAGCTGTGGAAAGACACGCTTTTAATGTATTCCATCAGGCAGCATTTAGCTCCAGTCGTAACTAGCTGTTTAGGCAAAAAAAGAAAAAGGAAAAAAAAACCTAATATATATGTAAAAAAAAATAAAAACAAAAAGTAAGTAAATAAGGAGAATTACCTGCTCGTTAGACCATAAACAAGCATTCTTTTTTATATTTCTTCCAGTATAATAAATTATTGATATCATTGCAGACTTTTATATTATGGGAGAATTAAAAATAAAAATAAAAAAAAGAGGTGATAAAGCACTGTTTCTATTTTTTTTTCTTTTTTTCCAAAAAAAATTAAAAAAAAGAAAGTAATAAAAAAGTTAAATTCTTTGTACCGGTTTTAAAAAAAAAAAAAGAAGTGTATAAAATTTACATCTGTGAAGTAGAATTATTCAGTTCAAGAAATTTACACATTGACAATGTTTTAGATTTTAAACCCAGTAGATTAATAGTTAGAGAGAGAAAACGCACACCCGCGCTCACCCATTCTCATGTTTACATGCTACTTGTAGTCAACATTTATAGACGCATTTACCAATCCTGCAATCGATGAATAGAGATAATCCCGTCCTTCTCATCCATTTGGCATTTTTTGAACGACGCTGTATCATGTAAACAAACTGCAGTTCTTCAAGGTGTCCCAATTCTGCTCCCGCTTCTGATTTCAAACCCAAGGCCTCTTTGATTGGTCAATGACTAGGTCCATCCAAGATGAACAGTAGACTACCCAACAGCAGGTCCCTGACACGTGAGTTTTCCCAACGGGTTTCTACAACAAAACTGCAGACTCGGACACAACTGAAAAAATTGCAGTTTGTCTGTGCATATGTTGTTACTGATTAACCTAAGTTGGAGTGTTTGTCAGGGTTTCTTGTTTTTGTATTTTAAAGAAAATAAAAGCAGAAAAAAACTGTACCTCCACAGTTTTGTTGAAGATAGTTATATTCTCATGTGTACCGTGCAGGACGAAAAGGGGCGAACCCTTCAGTTAACAATGATCAATTCACTGCTGTGAACTTGCCAACTTGCTATAAACAATTCTGCTTAAGAAGTGTTTGTGATCAGGCTTTTCTCTTTGTCATCGTTAACGTGCATGCAATATGATCAGTTGAACGATAACCATCAATAAAGTTTCACAAGATTTGAAAACAAGGTTTCTGGAGCATTTGTATCAAAGCAACTGTTTTGGTCACGTTCAGGGCTGAGAGCAGCAAAGGAGAGGTAGCGAAAGGAAGAGAAAGGACCAAAACAAGCCCCCCCCCCCTTTGATTGATGAAAAACATGGGCTACTAAAAATCATATTCCACTTCCCAGGATGAGGGCTTTAACTAGCCATGTTTCATTCCTGAGGATATCCACAGCTTTTGGAGATTCAGGTACAAGTCAAAAATCCAAGTTTTCTCCACATCCCTCTTTCCCATGTCCAGTCTTGGCAGACTCTCCCCTGTCCCACTAAATCAAAAACTGTTCTAAATGCTCAGTTTTTGGGAGGGGAACTACCCAAGTAGCCAAATCCAGACACATAGGTGATGTTCTTCCAGACATAGCTTTGTTGGTTTGTAGTGACCCTTTCCTATTTGTCACAAGGTTTCCATGGTCTGATCCTAACCTTTGCTGTAACAGCAAGTAAAATATTGGGTTTGGGTCAATTACCCTTCCAGTATAATTTCTCAAACCATGAGGGCATAATTTTAGGGCATATCGAGAAGAACCACCATGTTCTTTCTTAGTTTCTCTTGAGTTCCCAGGGAGAAGTATAGGTGTTTCTTAGCTCTCTTCTATCTTCATTGCTGTAATGAAGGAAATATTCTAGTATGAATGTTTAGGATCAAAGTGGCCATTTGTTATGTGAACTTTTAAACACCATGGGAAAATATATCACAGGATATTAAAGTTTCTGAGTTCAGAAACCAAGGGTGCATACAGACGTACCTTTCAGTTGGACTCTGCTTCCTTGTCTCCTGTGAAGCAAGCCAGGTTTCTACCACTTTTGCAACAATGCATTCAGTCAGGTGTATTTAGCTATTATTTGAATATTGAACAACCTTCTCTTCCTCCTCCTCCTCCTCTTCCCTTTTAATGCAGCAAATTTGGTTGTCAATTTGTTCCTCTTTTTTTTCTTTTTTTGAAAGAGAATTCTCTATAATAATATTACAGGGTAGGAGGATTTGTGATTTCACATCTTCCAGCCAATAGTGCTGTGCACACTTGCTTCTGCTACAAACCTGTAGAACTGCTTTCTTTAAAAAAAAAATCCCAATCCTAGACTGGGAATTTGTTATTCCGATTCTGGACAATGCAGTGGGGATATTTCCATTGTGACTCAACTGCTTGAAAAATGCACGTCTGTATGCACTCGGAAACACCTTTTTTAAAAAAAGAAAACAAAAACAAAAAATGACTGTGAAATAAATATTTATTTTCTTACAGAAATTCAGTTTTCACACATAAATCTCCTGATGTTTAAGTGATAAGTCAATGTGTCATTTTGGTTTGAATTAAGTGGCTGTTCCATTTGGTGCAACCCTTAGTAAAGATCTGATGTTTATTCTTGCACACAAATGAGGTTGCCACACACTGTTGGAAAATATTTTTGTGGAAAAAAAAAAAACTTACAACACTCCAATCATTCATTTTATTCAAATGTATGTCTGATATAGGGAATGTTTTTTTTCTGGTTATATAAATTATTACTGATTATATGAATACTGATTTTAAAAATAACTGATTAATACCATATGTAGAATATTGTGACTTCAAAACAACTACAGATCTTTAAACCCGACAAGTGTGTATATCTGTCTTTAGAAATTAGTGTTTATATCACTACAGTGGTTTGTGAATAAAGGAAAAACAAATGGTTTGTAATATTAAAAATAAAAGCTTAGTCTGAAATGGTGTAAATAAAATCTGTGTCCAGAGTTGTGTTTTTCCTAATCTTTTTAATTTATTTACTTTTCAGGCTACAGACCATATCCTTATATTCACCATCTTTTCACAAAGAATTGGAAGGAGGAAATAGAATAACTGGAATTCAAAGGGCATCTCGCAGTTGATCCCAAGTAGAGTAGGATGTGAGTCATTCCAAGGGTCTCGCAGTCTTAATATTGACAGGGAGAAGACAAGGTGAACCTTGTGTGGAGGAAACACAACGTTTCTTTCTTTCTCTTGGGAGAGAGAAAGAAATTGCATCAGTTTATATTAAAATGAGAACTAAATGGATTTCTTTTCCATTCCTAGTGAAAACGGGCCTGTCAGAATCTCAACCTTATCATTCCTTGTTTATTTAGTTATTTAAAAGATTTATATATCCTGTCCCATAAAATATCTCAAAATGATTTACAATCAAATTTAAGAACAATAATAAACAGGAGTGTTAAAAGAGTTAACATAAAACGTATTTATTAAAAATGAATGGGAAAGAATGGAATTTTAGAAATTGTCATGCAGGGAAGTCTGAGTGAAAAAAAAAAATTAACTTCAGCAGGTGCCTAATAATCAGTTCCTTTTTCATACAGAACTTATATTGACTGATTTCTTTAAAATATTTATTAGGCCCGCGTGGGTTGGGTGGATCCACTTTATCCTGCATTGCGCCTTGGTCTGTTTTGATCTGCACAGTCCTAGTATTATTATATTGCTTCTCATTACAACAAACCCAAAGTGGTTTACAATCAAGAACATTTTCAGCTGTCAAGCTTGCCAACCCAAGACTCAGCGGTAAATCTCCATTCCCCCTCCATTCTCCTTGGCTGCTAGATTCAGACTTGGCAGAAGTTTCTCCCACACGCAACACAGCAGAGTTAGAGAAGAATATTTATTGCAAAATAGAAAGAAGCCACACTGAAGAGTTGATTGCTTTCTGCCAGCAGGCGGGTACATTTCCCTCTTTTAAAGCTATTGCTACTGCTTACCACCCTTCCCATGTTTCAATAGATTCTCTGCCCCATGCTTTGTGACCTTGAAGCGGAGAGTTGTTGGTTGTTGACAGAACTGACATTGCTGTCCTGAGAACTGTGGGTTCTCGGCTTGCCTCTCACCCATATATTCTCAGGCAAGGTCACTGCCCACAACTTTAAGAGTTGTCCAAGAGATGAGTGTGCAAATGTCTTAGCTTTCAACATACCATCTTTTCTCCAGTAGGGCACAGCTTCCCTTAAATCCAAGGAAGAAACATCAAGAAAGAACTTCTACGAGGTTCATTTTTTCCCAC